CAGGGCTTTTTTGTAAAAAGGAGTGCCGTCGCCCACCGCAAAGTATCGTTACATTGGTGCCGGTATTCACGTCCAGAATGTCTGGAACAGGAGCAGCGACCACAATCATGTTCATGAAGCGCTTCTGTCGTTAAACTTCCTGGAGAGGAATCATTTGCCATCCCACTGCCTGCTGGGTGCCACTGCTGATTGTCTTGCGGGTAAGGCGTAAAGGAATTTTAATGTTGTCAATCTATATTTTCGAGGAGCGGCTGGCCGAGCAGTTAGAACTGGGTTCTCAAAAGTGAGACCTGTATTCGAATCCTGGTTAGGTTGCACTAGCCACGCGGTCCTAAATCCTTAGCCCCAAAGACCCTCCTGCCTACGCCACAGTTGGCAGATCCATCTTTGTCGTTGCACTGATAATCTTTCTAAGGAAGGTGCCGACTATGAGCACCGTTGCCAACCACCAGAATAGAAAGCCCTGACTATACCCATATTTGTATGCATCGATGGGCAATCGGTGTATGATTTGAATAACATCTCGGTGATCCGCAGCTATTTCCATGACATGTAGCAAAAGCTAACAAACGAAGTTTGACGCAGCAGAGCCTAACATATGATGCCACAAGACCCAGCTAAAGAATGGAGAAGAAGGCGATCACTGCAGCTTTCCGCTGGCTAGAGAACACGATTCACGGACAATCGTGGTTGTAGCTGACTGAGAAAGCATGCTGAGAAAGGTACAGACACGCATTCCTTGTGCAGAGTGGCAGGTCGCTTAGGAGGTCACAGGTGAAGAGCATAGTCTCTGGGAATGCCAGTGTTTTGGGAACTGAACAGGCGGATAGACTGGCTGGCTCGGTACACACTGGCGGAATACTGATGAATGATAAGGCAGGCCTAGTTAAGGTCTCATGGGAGCATGTGTACAATTCGGAGCAGCAAATTATAATTAACAGACTGGTGAGACTGATACAGTATGGAGTGATGAGGGGCTCTGGGCAATACTTGACACGTAAAGAAAAGACAAGAGGACATATAAGCAGACTGCTCCTGACACCATTAGTATTGGAACTCTGTGCTGGCTGATAAAGATGGAGCTTATGGGAGAGCTCCGTGTGCTGTGAGGGCGTTACTTGAATCAACTCAACTTAACTCAGCTAAACATCTTCTGGTACTGTACCAATTTTAGACTGGAATGACACAGAATCACTAGGTCAAATATAAAACTTTGACTAGATTCGAACACAAGACCTTCGTGTCGTCTTGAAAGCCTCTATCTACCCTACAACGATTCCCGAATATTCTAGAACAGTGGCTCTCAACAGTCCTAATGCCGCGACTCTTCAATACAGTTCCCTCATGTTGTGGTGACCCTTTAATACAGTTACCTCATGTTGTGGTGACTCTTTAATACAGTTCCCTCATGTTGTGGTGACTCTTTAATACAGTTCCCTCATGTTGTGGCGACTCTTTAATACAGTTCCCTCATGTTGTGGCGACTCTTTAATACAGTTCCCTCGTGTTGTGGCGACCCTTTAATACAGTTCCCTCATGTTGTGGCGACCCCTTAATACAGTTCCCTCATGTTGTGGCGACCCTTTAATACAGTTCCCTCATGTTGTGGTGACCCCCAAAACTATTATTTTCTTTCATAACTTTAATGAATATGTGTTTTCCGATGGTCTTAGGCGACCCCATGTAGAAGGGTCGTTTGATCCAGAAAAAGAGTCGCGACCGATAGGTTGAGAATCGCTGTTCTAGAAGACTGGGATTTACCTTAACTCCAAAGCACTGAAGCTGAGATTGTTTGCGTTCTGAAATGGCATTGCATCAATGAGATTAAAGCTGGTAAGGAGATGTTCTCCCCTTCCTAAATCCTGTGCCACATACAAGGGGACTGTGCTACAAAGCTCTACTTTCCTTCTTGAAGTTAGTTACCGGCAGGATGTCCACAGCCGGTTGTTTAGCTTCACGTCTGCATGGAGGCATTTTGTATCCACGTCGCTATTAAAAATAGGGTCAGGTTTTTGTCTATCGGTATCCCATCAATAGACTGATTTCCAAGCAATATAACACAATAGTTACAGAAGTCCACTATGCGTGGAGTCACTTTCATTTTCGTTCCGGGACACGCGGGCGTCGATGGAAATGAAGGAATTGACAGGATGGCTGGATCCGCTATCACTAGTGACGGTCGACCTATACTAATAATGCTCTCATAGAAATTGGAAAGATGGAGGACTTTGGGGGCAGTGAATCTACAACACTCGCCAGAATGATAGATTTGGGAATTAAGATCGGCATAGCAAAGACAAGAGGCACATCAGAGGACTTGTTCAAAGACAAGAGACACATCAGAGGACGTGTTCAAAGACGAGCGGCACATCAGAGGACGTGTTCAAAGACGAGAGGCACATCAGAGGACGTGTTCAAAGACGAGAGGCACATCAGAGGACGTGTTCAAAGACGAGAGTCACATCAGAGGACGTGTTCAAAGACGAGAGGCACATCAGAGGACGTGTTCAAAGACGAGAGGCACATCAGAGGACGTGTTCAAAGACGAGAGGCACATCAGAGGACGTGTTCAAAGACGAGCGGCACATCAGAGGACGTGTTCAAAGACAAGCAGCACATCAGAGGACGTGTTCAAAGACGAGCGGCACATCAGAGGACGTGTTCAAAGACGAGCGGCACATCAGAGGACGTGTTCAAAGACGAGCGGCACATCAGAGGACGTGTTCAAGGACGAGAGGCACATCAGAGGACGTGTTCAAAGACGAGAGGCACATCAGAGGACGTGTTTAAATACGAGAGGCACATCAGAAGACGTGTTCAAAGACGAGAGGCACATCAGAGAAGGTGTTCAAAGACGAGAGGCACATCAAAGGACGTGTTCAAAGTCGAGAGGCCCATCAGAGGACGTGTTCAAAGACGAGCGGCACATCAGAGGACGTGTTCAAAGACGAGCGGCACATCAGAGGACGTGTTCAAAGACGAGCGGCACATCAGAGGACGTGTTCAAAGACGAGCGGCACATCAGAGGACGTGTTTAAATACGAGAGGCACATCAGAAGACGTGTTCAAAGACGAGAGGCACATCAGAGAAGGTGTTCAAAGACGAGAGGCACATCAAAGGACGTGTTCAAAGTCGAGAGGCCCATCAGAGGACGTGTTCAAAGACGAGCGGCACATCAGAGGACGTGTTCAAAGACGAGCGGCACATCAGAGGACGTGTTCAAAGACGAGCGGCACATCAGAGGACGTGTTCAAAGACGAGCGGCACATCAGAGGACGTGTTCAAAGACGAGAGGCACATCAGAGGACGTGTTCAAAGATGAGAGGCACATCAGAGGACTTGTTAATCAACATAGAACTGGTACTTTTAGCCGCCAAGTGCTGGGGGGAGGATCTGAGCACATATGGACATGTCTGGAGTACCATGATGATAACCCAACTACCTACCTAAATAACTAACTAACGAAGCAACTAACTAACTATTTAACTAACTAACTAACTAACTAAGTAATAACACCATAGTTTGAAAAGACGAAAAGTTGACTTCAATCTTATCCATCTCCAAAGTCTGTTTCTGTTTGTTTTTCTTTTTTTATCCAGATACCCCGATCAGTCTTCTACCCTTCTTCTTCTCACATTCCATATAGTGTTGTCTTTGTAGCCCTGCATGTTAACATTCGTCTTGTATGCTTTCCTTTATTTCTTACTCGGATGGCCACACGGGTCTTCATGCTGATGTGCCCAGCTTTCTCTCTCTCTCTTGGTCTCGCTGTCTCATCCGCACCAAACTTTCCGCTGTCACAAGGTGCTCTAGTTTCACCTTTCTCATTAAATACCTAAACCGTGTACATTAGATCTTTTTCCAGATCTTCTTTTTAACGTTCACTGGCTGTAAATACCGACGGGAATTTCTGGCTGCTCGTTTGCTTCTGGAATGTGGTTATTTTCCCCAACCTGAACTTTGCGTGCATACATTTTACAGATCTGGCTTATGTGTATGCAGCCTGTTGATCTCTCGCCTGTCACGCACATGCTTCTAGATTTCGAAGCTTCTTAACAGTAGTACTTCAAGCAGTAGTACTTCAAGCAGTAGTACTTCAAGCAGTATTACTTCAAGCAGTAGTACTTCAAGCAGTAGTACTTCAAGCAGTAGGTCTATTATTCTGTTCCTTAAAATGCGGCCCCGGAAGCAATAAAAGAAACTAGTTCTATTCGTGAGTTAATTTCTCTTAAGACCTTCTCATTACTCTTTTGGTCGTCTGTCCGCGGTTCTGGTCAAGAGTCTAGTTTTCTAGTCATGTGTCTGTGAACCATATATTTGCAGTTTCAACCCACTAAATTCGCTGTGTGGGTTCCGGTGACCAACTGTTGGGAAAAACCAGAATAGACCCATGCCCTCCTAACAAGCAGGTCGTAAGAGTCGATTAGCTAGAGATTTCTTTCGAAGCCAGACAGCGCCTGCCTAGAAGTCAAGGAACAATGAGTCTGTGTACAAAGAAGTTATACCTGTAAAAACAAATGTGCACGCAACACTCCAGTTCTGAAACAAGATCAAAGTTCGGAACTGAGTGAACAACTAGAACTTTCCGACCTTCAGACAGTCAGTCAGTCAGTCAGTCAGTCAGTCAGTCAGTCAGTCAGTCAGTCAGTCAGTCAGTCAGTCAGTCAGTCAGTCAGTCAGTCAGTCACTCAGTTAGTTAGTAAGTTATTTAGTTAGTTTGTTTGGATATGATCATTGCACTAAGTACATATCAGAACCTTCCCTCAATATGAACCCCAGCGTCCTGTGAATATAGTGCCAGTTCTTTGTTAATTGATACATCTTTGTGTATGCCCGGTGTGTCTCTCGCTTTTGGCTATGCCAATCTTAACCCACGAGTCTTTCATTCTTGTGAGCGATGTGGAGTCGCTGTCTCGAAAGCCCTCCACCCTACCCATTTCTCTGAGAGCAATCCGACGGTGTTTTTTTTTTTTTAAGGTCAAAAATTTATTAGTGCCAATTAAGCTGCAGGTTGTTGCTCTTGGGGCATGCTGCGGATGATGTCAGAATCACCTGGGTCTGTGATTGAGAGGGCACAGCATCGGAAGCACTTTCCGCAGGCAGTTCCCAGCTCAATGTTGTTGCCAGTGTAGTGATGGACGACACCAATCTTGGCCAACATGGCATAGTACTCAATCTCAGATTTCCTGAGAGGAGGGGTGTTGTTGGCAATGATGACCAGCTTGGCTTTTCCTGCTCTCAGGGTCTTCAGTGTCTGCTTGTAGCCTAAGACATATTTGCCAGACTTCATAACCAATGCCAAGCGGGAATTGATGTTGTCTGCTGTCTTTTTCGCTTTCTTTTGGGCAACCATCTTCAGTAGTCAGTCACTGCGAGTGAAGTAACAATGTCACGCTAGGAGACGTCGGATGAATGCGAACAAGAACCTACTAAACAGTTACAATCTTATGCAAAATGTGACCATTAGACAACAAACAAAATTTAAAAGAAAAGAACTAGGCGATGACCGCATTCTTCCACTTTGAAAGAAAAAAGGACACAACATAATGAAAGATTCACCTAATTTCGCAGCTTCCCTTCAGGCAGTCATTACGTTTTCGTCCATTTCAGAGATTTAAACGCTTGTTGTTATTTCTATTTTTATACAATGTGCGTGCGCAGTAAGCCGGTAATCACCCGGTATTGATTAATGTTCATTTGACTAATTTGGACAACAAGAGGAGGCTTCCGTTTGGTTGGTTGACGGGTTCGCGAAATAATGAAGCGGGGACAAGGGGGACACAATTTCTAACGTTTATGTGGAGAAAACGCCGGTCAATGAAAAATCTGTAGATATTTTACTGACAATACAACAAGTGCATTTCAATTTTCTGTGTCGTTAGGGACTCAACATTGCTGACATAGTTGTGTTATTTTGTTGTTCGTGTCTTTGCTTTTGACAACTTTTAAAATGCCCGCCAAAACATTACAGACGTCATTAGCATTGAACACAAGAAAATGGGAGCCGCGTTAGCGCAGTTGATAGGAGGCTCGCTTTCAAATCCAGCTGCGACTCGCTGCAGCTCATGTCCGGTGTTCGAAACCGGGCGGTTCCCGAGGTTCACCCAGCCTCTATGAAATGGGTACCAGAGTTAACGCTCTGAGGTAAATGGAGGAACGTAGCTGTAGCTACAGAGTTACGTGCGGACGGCGACACTGGCGGACAGTTTCTTATCAGCTGTCCGTACTGGTGGCAGAGCACTTATGGTTTATAAACTTGTACACTGGCGCTGGTTCACATCCCCGGACTTGAGCTTTACAAGAAAATACTGTTAAAATCAGGATAGACAGACAGTTACGGTTATACGGCTTCGTAAGTCTTTCTATGAGGGTGGTATTTTGGGGAATATCGACTCTTTGGCTAAGATCAAAGGGCTGGATCGGTCACACAAACACACACACACAAGCGTACGCACATGAGCTCCTGCTCTGAATGAACCCCTTCACTAGCAACCGAAAACAGCCGCGTGTTCTCCTCCTCCCCGTCCTTCATTACTGCGTTCATTCAAGGGGCGGCAGGCAGTTGGCGCTGCCGTTTACAAAAAGGCTGCGATATCTGCGTTTTTTAGTTTTCCCCATCCGATGTCATCAAACCCTACACTTGTCGCCTTTTACGGTAAGACACTGTGAGCGTGTTTTGCAACCGAAAACGGAACCCTGCTACTAACACGGGGAAATAAATGAATGACGCAAATGCTAGTTGCTGAATTCGGAACAGGTCACGAAGTCGGGCCCAAACGAATCGTATTAGTAGTTTCATTCATGCTTAGTGACCCTTCCCACGCGCTAGTGTAAATTAGGGTAAAATAAAAGATAATCTCCCCCCCCCCTACCCCCATTCTACACACCGCCGGTACACACTAGCTCGCTTCTGATTGGTCGACCTTTAGCCCACCTCAAACTGATTGGTCGGTCTCGAGTCGTCCGACTTTCACACATGGTGACGGGGCTGTTCGCAATGCCGTCGATATCGCGTGTTGTATATTTCACCACGCCAAGCCTTTTAACATTCCAAAAATATTTAAAAACTGGGTCTAACACACAATCGCCCCCTCCCCAAAAGTGATGAAACCTATGTAACAGGCAGTCTCTTTCTCAGAATAAAAACGTAAATGCAAAGTATCAATGAAATTGACCTACTTTTCGTGGGGTGACCAACGTTTCAATAACCTAAATTAGAGGGGTGTCAGGGTGTCTTGTTTTTTTATCCACGCGTGCTTTATATTAAAGGATTTCACCTGCTTTAACGACCCCAAAATATCTAGAGCTGGTTCTCTCCCCCCCCCCCCCCCCCCCCCCCCCCCACTCCCACAGGCAGAGCCTACGTCCCACGAGAGACTGCACGCTACGTGCCGTGGTTTCAGAAGTATGAACATTTTTCGGTGAACGTCAGAATATACGATTTTTCTCATAAAAACGCACTATGCACCTGTCCGTCCGCCACATATACATAGCAGAGGAAAACCTGACTCCCCTCCAACTTAGACTGACGCGTCTCAAAGGTTAACACACACCAATGAACGTCCAAACAAGGATCACTGACGGTTTGTTTGGGCCCGACTTTGTGACTTCTTCCCTGAATTCATGCGTTATGATTCTAAAATCTGACTGTCTTTGTTGCTGGTAAACTAAAAAAAAAAAAATTTTAAATATGTCATCAATACATAATCTATAAGTGAGGAAGATTGGCGAAATTCTGTTTCTTTGCCTTCTCTCAGGGTTGATTACTGCCTGATTACTGATCACTCAGTAATCACTGTTGATTGATTACCTAATATTACAACAAGAACACACGAGAGTCGGTCTTTTGTTGACAATCAAAAGACATCTAAGCAGTTTAGAGTGCGGGAAGAAGTACGGATAGAGCAGAAATCGTTAATGCTGTACGGACTGGGCTAATGGAAAATCATAAGTCTCTTCTGACATTCACATGCGTGATGTGGGAGAAGAGCTTTGTGAAGCACTCCTATACCGCATTTGAAGCAGAGGTAGGATAAAGTATAACAAGCTTCTCACGAAAACAGTTAGTAAAGGTACCTCGGAGTGGCTGCTGCATGGGAGGACTGGGCACGCAAGGGAATGCAAAATGCGCAGTGACGTCGATTGTGATAACATAACCTTAAAGAAGTAACAATCGACGAGTCGTTACACTAGAATAATCAAACATGGAAAACAAGTAACAATCGACGAGTCGTTACACTAGAATAATCAAACATCGAAAAAAAAAAAAAGAAACAATCGACGAGTCGTTACACTAGAATAATCAAACATCGAAAAAAAAAGAAACAATCGACGAGTCGTTACACTAGAATAATCAAACATCGAAAAAAAAAGAAACAATCGACGAGTCGTTACACTAGAATAATCAAACATCGAAAAAAAAAAGAAACAATCGACGAGTCGTTACACTAGAATAATCAAACATCGAAAAAAAAAAAAGAAGAAACAATCGACGAGTCGTTACACTAGAATAATCAAACATCGAAAAAAAAGAAACAATCGACGAGTCGTTACACTAGAATAATCAAACATCGAAAAAAAAAAGAAACAATCGACGAGTCGTTACACTAGAATAATCAAACATCGAAAAAAAAAGAAACAATCGACGAGTCGTTACACTAGAATAATCAAACATCGAAAAAAAAGAAACAATCGACGAGTCGTTACACTAGAATAATCAAACATCGAAAAAAAAAAAGAAACAATCGACGAGTCGTTACACTAGAATAATCAAACATCGAAAAAAAAAAAGAAACAATCGACGAGTCGTTACACTAGAATAATTATAGAAAACAAGCAGCTAGCTTCTACAGTTCTGGATTCAAATGTGGTGACTGAAATAAAGATATAGACGTCGGAAACAAAATCGGTTCCGTTGACTCTTCCAGGCCCATTTACACAGTCTGACATTTCATTCAGGTTTTCTCAGAATGTTCTACGTCGGAGGGGTGTCACGTTGTCTTGCCTCCGATTTCATCAGCGCCAAAGTCGCTTATTCTACACTACACGACGAAACGGCTGTCAACGACCCCAGAACGCCTAGAACTGGCCCTAACACAAACCCCTCTACCAACAGCCTGAGCCTAGGTCACACGAGAGACTCTTTTCGAAGAAAGCAGTACAATGTGACACTTCCCTCTGACCTAGATCAGACTGACAGTGTGTAGATGGGGCCGAAAAACGTGAACAAATCCTTAAAATCTTACAAGAATGCAAGCGATACCTTCTTTATTGTATTTCTTCAGCGGTTCTTCTACGGTCACTGGTATGTATTGAAACTGAAGAAGCATTAGAATTGACGAACTAGGTGGCTTGGGCAGAGGCGATAACAAACAGTGAACACATGTTTATAGATTACGATACATGGCCTATCAATTCACAATCACGCAAAGTTTGGAACTCAGAGAGTAATTATTTTCCCAGATAACAGAAAGTGGCAAACTCTTAATCGGGTTTTTGACAATGACACAAACTATTATTTAAAACAATGGAAGACAATTGTTCTCATATATATATATATATATATATATATATATATATATATATATATATATATATATATATATGTGTGTGTGTGTGTGTGTGTGTGTGTGTGTGCGTGCGTGCGTGCGTGTGTGTGTGTGTGTGTGTGTGTGTGTGTGTGTGTGTGTGTGTGATCCAATGCACCCTGTATTCACAATATTTTTAAACCCATTTTCACGAATGGAACATAGGCCCTCCTCCAACTCAAATTAAGTCGTTCAAACTGTTGCTATAGATAGTTTACTTCCCACTATATCTTACCCATGTGTTTCGATTAAGCCTCATATTCCCTTCTCCGTTGTCACATGCCGCTCGTGTCGCGTGACTGTTTTAAGGATCTCTCCTAAAGAACCAACAGCACTCTGAAATAGAATAATGTTGAGGTGTCGGCTCGTATTGGTCTAAAGGGTATCCCGTGGCCAATATACACCCAACCTATTTCAGGAGTAGGGCAACTCAAGTTATGGCACTAAAGAATATATAATATTCCTAGGCTCAACTTGGCCGGACGTCCCCACTACTATAAGAAGATAGCACCCAGGCTATGATATTGTAATATCACAGCCATGTTAATACAGATTAAGATTAATAGTTAAACATACAAATACTCTAAACAGTTTAAACAGTGAATGATGGACACCCAAGTCAACAATGAAAACTTCCAAAGGCATGTAATAAATGCAACATATATATATCATTAAGACTCAAGCAAAGAAATCCAAGAGCACTGGAATAATGAGATTAAACAAAGCAATACTGCTGGATCAGCCAGAGATCCTTCGAGACAGTCTG